TTCACGAATTTGAGATACTCTGTTAGCTACAAAACATGCATATCTTGCTGACTCGTTGCGTATATAATATATCACAGACATCGAATCAGTCCAAAACGTTACGGGATGCTTGGGGTAATCCAACTCTTTACACACCGTTGTGAATAACTGCGCAGCTAGTAAGGCGGCATTAAGTTCTAATCTCGGAATCGAAACCGTCTTTAGAGGTGCAACTCTAGATTTACCCATCACCAGGCTAACATCTATATCATTCCTTAAGGTGGTTCTGATGTATACGGCTGCACCAAATCCAACCTCAGAGGCATCAGAAAAAACATGGAAGTCAATTATATCATGATTTCTCGACGGCTTAAGTGGACGTGAGACGGAATGTAGATTCAGCATTCTTAAACTGTTAACCCACCCCTTCCACTCTTCTCTCTGCCTCTCACTTAATGGTTCATCCCACTGTAACCCTTTCCTGCATGTCTCTTGAAATAACCTCCTAGCCGGAAGTAGATAAGGTGCTACTAATCCAAGTGGGTCAAACACGGACGACAACACAGAGAGCACACCTCTCCGAGTAACTGGCTTATCAATATCACCAACACTAAATCCAAAGGTATCAGAGTTCACATCCCATCGCATACCTAATGTGCGTTCAACTGGTAGAGTATCAACAGGCAAATCTCGTACGGTAGGTGCTCTGTCTTCTGGATCTATATGCTTCAAAACGTCTAGGCTGTTCGAGACCCACTTAGTTAGACGAAAGCCGGCCTTAGCTAACACTTCAGTGATGCTTGTTGCAAATCTAACTGCAGACTTATCATCATCGAAGGAGGCTAAACAATCATCCACGTAGAAGCAACAATCTATGACGTCCAGCAAATCATTAGAACCAAATGTGGACACTGCCTTTCGTAGAGCAAAATTAGCACAAAATGGGGAGGATGTGGCACCAAATGGATGCACTGTCATCCTATATTCTGACACCTTACCACAAGGACCGTCATCAAACCACAAAAACCTCAAGTGATCTCTGTCACTCTCTGGCACCTTCACCTGAAGGAACATTTCCTCAATATCCGCCGCGACAGCAACTGTAAACTTTCTGAATCTCAATAGCAGTCCCACTAATGAGCTCACGCAATCTGGGCCACTATACAGATTATCATTTAAAGAGACTCCTTCATGTTTCGCAGAACAATCAAACACCACACGGAGTTTACCTGGCTTCCTCGGGTTAAAGACGGGATGATGGGGCAAATACCACTTCCCTGGCTCACTTGATCAACTAGTCTTTCAACGTAACCCTTCATTATATGTTTATCGACGACTTCCTTATATTTGGACCAGAGTTCTGCATCTGACAGGAATTTCTTCTGTAAACCCATTAGTCTCTTAAGAGCAACTTTCCTATTACAAATCAACTGTCTATCTTTGAATCTCCATGGTAGGCCAACGCTGAAACGCCCGTTTTCGTATTTACAAGAGTCCTCGGCTATTTTAACTGCTTTTAAGTCTTCTACAGAACGACCTTTCCCTGGGACACCGCAGTCACAAAACTCCTTGTCATACATATTTTTAATCATAGTTTCTAGTTTGTCCCCATCGTTTGTAACTAATGATGATATGTGGACTATGGGTATAGGTCCTCTCACTGTCCATCCCAGTGGTGTTTTTGTCGCAAACAGATCATCTCTACCTCCAAATCTCTCTTCTAATACCTTGTGAGCTTCTGGCACACTACATCCAATGAGTACTCTCACTCTTCCATCTTGCAATGTTGGAAGAGGTATGTCACACAGGTATGGCTTACCGACAACCGTTTCACGACTAGGTACTATAGCTTCGCCAAGTTTCATACTGGAGGTAGTGTAAGCAGTATCCACTTCCACGGTCTCCCCAGTAGCCAAGGATTCTAACTGAAATGACACTCGCTCACATACTACTGTTTTCGCAGAATTGAAAGTATTTACAACCAAGGGTTGCTTTGGGCCTTTAATACCCAAGCAACCAGCCAGTTCAGCATCTATCAATGTAACGTCTGAACCATTATCCAACAATGCATAAGTCTCTACTGAAGATTTCGGTCCTTTCACCTTAACTGGTAATACCCCTAAGAAAACTTGTGGGATGTCAAGGGGTCTAGAGATACTATTACAATTAACCGAATTCCCAGGTTCGTTCACTGTTCTCAGAAGTGGGTGCATATCCGTTAAACCACTACTTCTTTTATTTGTCGCCTTACAATTCCACTTTGTATGCCCAATCTTTAAACAACTGAAACACAGCCGCTTCTGCTTTGCCATTTTTAACCTTTCTACGGGTGACATAGCGATAAAGCGATTACAATCACTCAATTGATGCATGTTATGGCAGACAATACACTCATCCTTTCTCGTTGTGTCTTGAGACTTCACCACAAATGCCTTCCTTATATTCACTGGTTCCTTAGGTTCTACCTTAGAATGCAAAATGCTGGCGAATTTGCCCATCGCCTGGTTGACACTGTCCTTCACCAGTCTAAGAATATCATCAAACCTTGGCTCGATACCCTCCTCCTCTATACGAGAGCTTATTTTTACCCATTTCCTTTGCAGCCGAGTAGGTAGGCGTCTTGCAATTACCTCTAGGACTGAGCTCGAGTTGAGGTCACTCATGCAATTCATAGAAATCAAGGTATTCTTATAAGTCATAAGATTGTCTAAAAACTCAGTAAGTGCCTTGGAGTCATCTTGAAGTTGACTGCCATTACCTTTGACAGCTTCGTATACGTTCCTTACAATCATCGAAGGTCTTCCAAACCTTTGACGTAATATGCTCATAGCCTCAGCGTATCCCTCATTAGGGGGCATGAGCTTACAGCACTGTATAGCTCTTGAAGCATCTCCAGTGCAATACCTCATCAAATACATCAATTTCAATTCATCACTTAATAAAAAACTACTCAGCATGATCTCAAACTCCTTTACAAACTGTAAATAATCGGCCGGGTTTCCATCAAAACACCGTGGTTCAAACTTAGGGAGTTTGATGTTCCTATTATCCCTGAACGGCGAAACAGTAACATCAACCATGTCATGCTTAACATCAGACACATCGTTACAATTAACAGACAAGTCACCATGACTTACTTTCCTGTTTGCATCCAAGACACTCTGTCCCTTCTTTGACCCAGGCATTGTTGAACTTGACCCAATTCCAAAAGCGTTCCAGATATTGCTTGTTCAAAGAGGACTTGACCGGCACAAGGAAAGATGAACGGTGACTATCCAAACTTTCACCAACTGTTTGAATCCGCCAGATCTGTTTCTATCGTCAGAAACTGTCAGCCACGTCTCATAAACCGTTAATGCCCAGCTCTCGCTACGCTCGGGCTCACGCTGTCCCTTGAAGTTTCTCAGAAACGCTTAGTTATAACGGACGAAAAAACCAAAACACCGATCTGCCGCTTGATATTTGTTTATTGTTACACCAACATATAAAAGGAATAAGCGAACTAAGGTCTGTGAACAAATATTACAATAATAAATCATAAGATTACTTCTGATGGTTTGCTACTGACTTCTTTCTGAACAGCGACCGATGAGACGATGACTGTCGTATTGATGCCTCCGCGAAAATTGGGGAAGTTGGTTTTGAGCAAACGACCAAGAATTGATCGTTCAATCTTCAACTCCATTGACACGGTTCATCTTTCCTAGTGCCGGTCAAGTCCTCTTTGAACAATCAATATCTGGAACGTTTATGGAATTTGCTCAAGTTCAACAGTGCCTGGGTCAAAGAAGTGATGTTGGTGTAACAATAAAGAAATAACAAGCAGCAGATCGGTGTTTTGGTTTTTGCGTCCGTTATTACTAAGCGTTTCTGAAACTCAAAGGAACAGCGTGGGCCCGAGCGTAGCGAGAGCTGGGCATTAACAGTTTCTGACGATAGAAACAGATCTGGCGGATTCAAACAGTTGGTGAAAGTTTGGATTGTCGCCGTTCATTTTTCCTGGTGCCGGTCAAGTCCTCTTTGAACAAGCAATATCTGGAACTTTTTTGGAATTTGGTCAAGTTCAACAATGCCTGGGTCAAAGAAGTGATAGAGTGTCTTGGATGCAAACAGGAAAGTAAGTCATGGTGACTTGTCTGTTAATTGTAACGATGTGTCTGATGTTAAGCATGACATGGTTGATGTTACTGTTTCGCCGTTCAGGGATAATAGGAACATCAAACTCCCTGAGTTTGAACCACGGTGTTTGGATGGAAACCCGGCCGATTATTTACAGTTTGTTAAGGAGTTTGAGATCATGCTGAGTAGTTTTTTATTAAGTGATGAATTGAAATTGATGTATTTGATGAGGTATTGCACTGGAGATGCTTCAAGAGCTATACAGTGCTGTAAGCTCATGCCCCCTAATGAGGGATGCGCTGAGGCTATGAGCATATTACGTCAAAGGTTCGGAAGACCTTCGATGATTGTAAGGAAAGTATACGAAGCTGTCAAAGGTAACGGCAGTCAACTACAAGATGACTCCAAGGCACTTACTGAGTTTTTAGACAATCTTATGACTTATAAGAATACCTTGATTTCGATGAATCGCATGAGTGACATCAACTCGAGTATTATACTAGAAGTAATAGCAAGACGCCTACCTACTCGACTGCAAAGGAAGTGGGTGAAGATAAACTCCCATATGGAGGATGACGGTATCGTGCCTAAATTTGATGATATCCTGAAACTAGTAAAAGATAGTGTCAATCAATCTATGAGCAAGTTTGCCAGTATATTGAATCTCACCCCTAGAATAGAGCAGTCTGAGAGTAAAATGCAATCATTGATGACAAATAGGCTTCAGAGAGGTGGATATCGAGAAGGCTCCATGATGTCTAGTAATGCATATAGACCTAGTGAGTGTAACAGGTTTCGTAGTACATCCTCAACAGATAAGTTGCAAATGCAAGACAAACACGGTTGTGTTTTACACGTTTGCAAGAGGTGCATACAGAGGTGAACTGTGAAGCAGTGAGTAAGTTTAGTGGTATGCTTAATGTGAAATCAGCGTCATCAAGGTCTGACTCCGAATCGTGTGACGATAACGGTGCGGTGAAGAAGCCTGTAGTTGCAACTGGTGAGCCATTATTGAATACAGTGTCACAGACGGCACCGGAGTTTGTGCAGAAGAAGAGAGTTACAGTTTCAGAGTCCAGTTGTGACTCCACAAGTTTACAAGTTATTACTAGTCAGAGTGAATGTATAAAACCTTTAAGGATTCATGAGGATGAATCCAAGTCATCTACTGCTGTTATTAAAGAGATTGAAAATGATGAAGTCGACCATATAAACGGCGGTAAAGTGGATTTTTGTGGCAATGATCATGATGGTGCACATTTGTCTTTGGCTGATCATGATGAGATGAACGGGATGCCTACTTCTACTGAGTCAAACAAAGTTTCTGTACAACTTGAACGTGAATTATAATTAAGGGCAGATGCGGTGGTAAAAGGTATGGATACTCGTGAGACTGTCCGTGTAAATGATCAGCGTGTAGTTTTGATGAAGTTAACTGGTCGTTTATATTGACTAATTGCTGTCTTCGTCTGAGTTAATTATTTATCCATTTGAGAGGTTTTCCTGTTGTTTTGTTGGATTCGAGTTTTTTAGGAGTCTGATATGTGGGACTAAATGGAATGCCTTGCTTATGGCTCCCGTTATCAATGCATTGCGTAATTTAGTCAAAATAATCCAAGTGGCAAGTAATCCACGACCTTCTACTTAAGAAACCGTATTGGGATGGGGATAGTAGGTCGTTTGACGGCAAGTACTGAATGATTTGAGTCTTAACTATCCTTTCCATTACACATGAAACCACATAAGTGATGTTGATGGGGCGGTAGTTGTTGATATAAGCTTAGGCCCGTATTTATGGATAGATACAATATAAGATTTTCTTCCAGTAGGTAGGGTATGTCCCATCGCTTAATGAAATTGAGTATAACTTGAGTAAGAGTAAACTCATGTCATTACCACCTTTTTTCAGCAGAACGGAAGATATACCGTCTGGACCAGTAGTGTTACTAAGCTTAAGATTTGCGACAGCTTTATCGATCTCATGTGTGGTGAAAATTATGTCACTTAAACATTCGTCTGTTTTACGTGGGAAATCCACGACCTCATCGTTCTCTAAAGTGTGTAATCTGGCGAAGTGCTTGCTAAACAGTTCACATATCGCCTCATTATTTTCGTAAGCAATGCCGTCTAAGTATATTATTTTCGGATAGGGTGTTTTGGAGTTCGCCAACCTACTTTTGAAAAGTTTGGCTATTTCTCCTGATTTATGCGGTGCATGAATGGCCTGCATTTCTTTGTCTCTGAGGCCTATATTTCTCAACTCTTCAATTCTATTGAGAAGGGACGTAATGGCAATTAATGACGATAAAACATGATATCTGTAGTATTTTATTGAGTGCTTTGGTAGACTCCTCTTCAACGATGTCGGAATATAATCGCTTTGGGGGGAATCTGAAGCTAAGAATCCTCCTAGGTGCAATGACGTCATGAACTGAGTTAATATTCTGATAAAAGTTGTTAAGAATTGCCTCTAAGGACTCGTTCGGAAGGTACAAGTCCCAATTAGAACATCTAATTAGGTGCTGATAAAAGTCCCAGGGTTGGTACACACAACCTACAAGTATAGGCTTACTTCTGACAACTTTTATTTTGACCCAGATCGAGTCATTGAGTTGTGACAGAATCGGGTTACTGAACTGGGTTGCATGGATGGATTGTTCACAGTAAATTAGTGTTCCACCCCCACGACCTGTCCGTCTGTCCCCTCGGAAAAGGTTGTATTTCTCAATCCTTAGACTGTCATCTGAGATTTCACTTGTGCACCAGGCTTCAGTGATCCTAATCAATGGTGGTCTGCATGTAGAAGCTAATGTACTTAGTGTTAAGTGTTTGTTTAGAACTGATCTTGTATTTACTAGGATAATAGATAAACACTGGCTATGTAGTTTCAGTGAGCGGACAGCATCTTGGTAAAATAATCCGTGACTATCCTCTATATACATGTTATCAGACTCACCAATATCTTTGGATCGTAGGAAGACTTCAGGTAGATTTTTGAGGTGGTGGTAGTCAGGGATGGTCTTTCGTTTGGATATGGTATGCAGTGAAAGATACCTGTGTGATAATCAGATATTAATATTTTAGAGATATTAGTATCCACTTTTTGTGTCGACACTGTGTCAGCTATCTTCCGGGAAATATGCCTTGCCCTATCTGTAGGTTGTTCTCTATACCAGTGAGGAATTGATCCGATATCATGCGTGCTATATGCATGATTCCAGGTGTTTCTGTCAACTGACGCTGGTGAAAATCCTGCCCGAATATATAACCGATATGGGTGTTCGGTGATTTGTTGCCAGTATAAGAATTAAGTGTTTGTATTCATCAGACCATAACGAGTTTTGTGCAGAAATCGGCGCACGCTCCCCACTAGACACATAAGACGTATTAATGGGCTATGTTGGCTTATTTGGCTTGCTAAATGTGGTTTGTGGCCGATGTTTGGGGGATATCCTATAATCTTCAGTTGATAGAATATTAGAAGTGGGCTGGTTAATAAGGCATTTACGTAGTGCATGAGCAGAATAATACCTACTACCTTGCTGTACTATCTGTCTGGAATTAGTGGTTGGATATAATTGACTTTCCACTGGGCACCAATTAGGCCTACCCGTAAGAGGTTGGTCTACCATATTTGACTTACTCTTAGAAACACGACTGATAGTTGCTTTCATCTCTATCGTATCAAAGGACTTTTTTGTTTAGGTTTCAGTATCTAATTTATTTACTTCTTTTTCTGCTTTCTTATGACTAACTGGTTGATGTTGGCTAACAGGGCAGCCAGCACATGCTATGTAGGTTTGCTGTGGCTTGAACACCTCATGAGCTTTGATTTTCTTAATGGAAATGGGACGTTTGTCATAACGCCTAGAAAACTTACGAACTTGGGTAGCTACATTCGACTGGTGCTTCACAGAGTGTGGATTGTCAGACTGAGGAGTAACTGACTTATAAGGCGATGGTTGGACCACCAGTGGGACGGGTTTTGATGGTTTAGGTGTCTTGACGTTTGCGTCAGTGTAAAAACGATGTATTTCAACATTATTTCCCGTTGACTCATCTATGTCCATCATTTCAGTGTCAGCATCAATATCATTATATAATGCTTGGCTAACATTAGCCAGTGCCTGCGAAAATGTCTGTTGCATGCCGTGATCAGATATTTCAATAGACGGAATAACGCATGGAACATCATATACAGTTATCCTATTAGATTCATCAGCATTCATTGTTCCTGAGCGGCATCGTCTTTAGCATGGCGTTAAATCAGGTGCAACCCTAATGTTAGTGTAAGGTGTTGAAGAGCCTATTGTCTTACCAGATTTCAGAAAATTCCTGGCTCCTTCAGTAGATCTAAACTTGAAAAGCACCGGACATGTGTGGTTTGCAGATTTCTTACGAAGACGCGAAACCTGACATTCTGTCAACTACATGTTACAGGCCTTTAGAAACGAATCTTTAAGTTTGGCAATCAGCTCTCTGTCTGGAATGTTATAGGCCAAGACGTTATGTGAAGACATAATTCTCTTTACAGCTTCTTCAGCCAAACAGTCAATTATGCGCTCGGATTTGATTAGTGATTCAAGACATATGTTTTGTGATTGGCCACACAGTTGCGTGAGAGGCATAATGCCGTCAAACTTGCTCTGTAGTTCTGCTATTGACTTCTGAGGTGTCAGTAAATCGTTTTTGCTAAAAGCCGCATTCTCTGTCAGTTCCTCCACTACGTTTCGCAGCTACAGAAAACACCAAGTTACAATCTATTCCTTCAATCGTGTCAATCAATGTGACATCAGTTAAGACTAGAGAAGGAACATCACTGGTGTTCACAAAATCCATTTGTGTTCCTTAATATGATATACATTTCGTAATTATAGGCGAACTAGGAAATGCACCAAGTCATCACATATACAACCAATAATTGAGCGTACAGGGTAGGGTAGATTTAAAGGAATGCCTACTCGATGTCGTCCAGAGTTCATGTGAAGTGACACATGCCTACACCTGAAGGTGCATTTGTAGGGTATCGCGTTTCGCCAGCTTTTTGTCTAAATGACTCGTTGGGACGCCTCCATATTTAAAAAGTGATCAGCCCATTGACTCTACCCGTACCTGCAGAAAATTACAAAACAAAGAATAACCTGATGGGGTGCGGTGCCGCGTTAAATTAGAATCCCTTAATTTACAGGCAGATAACACTTTTAATAATATCAGTAATACCGCTTTTAGTTGAAAAAGTAATTCGACTGTGTCACAGATGCGCTTGGCTGGATTTCTCTGTGCCAAGTATTGTTCACTATGTGAGTGCATTGAAGAAACCCTGTAGAGAAACATTGCAGCTTCGCCGAAAATTGAATAGAAGCATTTCACTTATACGAGGTGTATACAGTAATGAATTAACTCACTGCACTCAGCCCTACATTAACCTATAAAATTTCCTTGTTTGAAAATTAAACATGTACATACATATTGTGTCTGTAAGTGCAAATACACCTGAACATCGCATTTCGTCAGCCTTTCGTGTAAGTGACTCAATGGGTCACCTTCTGTCAGCCACGTCTCCTAAACCGTTAATGCCCAGCTCTTGCTGGACTCGGGCTCACACTGTTCCTTGAAGTTTCTCAGAAACGCTTAGTAATAACGGACGCGAAAACCAAAACACCAATTAGCGACTCGAGGATTCTTTATTGTAACACCAACATATAAATGACGTATGACTAAGGTCTGTGAACAAATATTACAATAATAAATCACAATATTACTTCTGACGGTTTGCTACTGACTTCTTTCTGAACAGCGACCGATGAGACGATGACTGGTGTATTGATGCCTCCGCGAAAATTGGGGAAGTTGGTTTTGAGCAAACAACCATGAATTGATCGTTCAATCTTCAACCACATTGACACCTCCATATTTAACAAATGCTTAGTCCACGAATTCTACTTGTACCTGTAAAACACAAAGAATACCCTGCTGGATATGTTGCTGTGTTACTCTAGAGTCCCTCAGTTTGCAGGTAAATCACACCTAATATCAGTATTACCACTTTTAGTTGAAACAGTCATTCGACTGTGTCACAAATGCTTTTGGCTGGGTTCCTCAGTACCAAGTATTATTCCCTATGAGAGTGCATTGAAGAAACCCTGTAGGGTGATATTTAAGCCTCGCCGAAAATTGAATAGAAGCATTTCACTCATACAAGATGTATGCAGTAAAGAATACATTATTAACTCATTGCGCTCGCTCCTACATTACCCTATGAAATTCTCTTGTTTGGAAATGAAACATGCACATATATATTGTGTCGTTAACTTCAGATACACACTAGTATCTAAATTTCATACGCCTTCTGTCTGACTACTCCATGTAATAATAGTTTGATAGTTATTTACGAATGCAGTAATAAGTATTTCATGGGCCAAGAGTAGCACTTAATATTCAGCAGAGGTATGGGCATTTAGTGATTGTAATTTAGAGAACTAATACGACAAGGTTAGCTTTTTTGTAATATATACGCACCTATCAACGCAATGAAAAGATAATGTCGAATTGTTATCGCAAGCATTGTATTTACTGTAGAGGGAATGCTATTGCAGGCAAACTTCACAGCAACGTGAACAAGTCTTGCATGTCATTACATCAGTAATATTAGCATATTAATTGTATTACGGCCTAATGTAAATAATCTAAAGGCATAATAACAACAA